CATTGAAAAGTTTGGAGACCTCACAGAAAAATCTACATTTCTGGGGGCCCCTGGGGGGCTCAGTCGGTCAAGCGTCTGACTCTTGGTTTTGGCTCAGGTCATGATCTCACGGTTCATGGGTTCGAGCCTCACGTCGGACTCTGTGCTGACAGTGTGGGGGGCCTGCTTGGGATTCTCTCTCTCTCCCTCTCTGGCTGCCCCTCCCCTGCTTGTGCTCGGTCTCTCTCTCTCTCTCTCTCTCTCTCTCTCTCTCAAAAATAAGTGAACATGAAAAAAAGTTTTTTAAACATCTAGATTTCTGGCTTCTCTTCAAAGGCCGGCCACCCTGGGTCTGTGACCCCTCCAGGTAAGTTTGGAAGGAGGGTGCAAGGCTACTTTCCTGAGAGAGAACTGAGCTTTCTGGGCTGTTCTCTGTGGCCGCCCTCACCCTCATTATCTGTCTGGCCCCTGTGGGCCTTTGAGTTTGCAACCCCAGTTTCACACCCCTGGGTGCTGCTTGCTTCTCAGTAACCCTGAACTTTACGGGAAAGCATACGTTTGGAAAGAAATATGGGACCGCCGTCTCGGGTTGGCCTCATCTGTCAGAGGAGAGAATTCCTGTCAAACAAACTTTTTAAGGGGTTCCCAGACCCAGCACCGATGTGCCTCAGGCACAGGGGCAGAGGCAGCTCTCTGTCCAAAGACTCAACTGCCTTCTGACACTATGGACCCACAGACACTCTCCGACCCCACAGGCAGAAGGGCTCAGTAGCACCAGGCTGCTCTCCACCCCCACCCTTTAAAAAAAAAAAATTTTTTTTTTAACATTTATTCATTTTTGGGAAAAAGAGACAGAGCATGGGCAGGGGAGGGGCAGAGAGAGAGGGAGACACAGAACCCGAAGCAGGCTGCAGGCTCCAGGCTCCGAGCTGTCAGCACAGAACCCGATGTGGGCCTCGAACTCACGGACTATGAGATCATGACGGGAGCTGAAGTCTGACGCCCACCCAGGCGCCTCTCCCCACTCCCACCCTTGAGAGACACCAGCCTCCAGCTCAGACCCATGGCTACAGACTGGGGGCTCTGATGCCCTCCTCCGTAGGTTCAATCAACTTGCCAGGATGAGTCACAGAACTCAGAGAAACACCTAGGTTGGCCCGTTTATTAACGGATATAAGAAAGGATGTGAATCAGTAGCCGGAAGAAGAGAGGCATAAGGAGAAATACGATTTGGGGGCACAGAAATCCCACCCTTCCCCAGGCGCCACTCCCCCCAACCTGTTCCCATCCCCTTCTACCTGTTCCCGTTCACCAAATCTGGAAGTTTTCCAACACCCTCCTTTTGATAGTTTATGGAGGCTGCATTGCATAGTCATGATTGACTGAGTCACTAGCCAATGGCTGACCTTGCCTCCAGCCCCTCTCCCCTCCCCCCGGAAGGTCAGGGAGTGACTTTAGTCAATTAGTTGCCCCCACTGGCACCCTGCATGCCCCCACCCCGCCCCGCCCCAGGGATGCTTTCCAAAAGGCACCATTAACATAACAAAAGACCTCTCTACTACTCTCCACACTTAAGAAATCCCAAGGGCTTTGGGAGCTGTAAGCCAGCAACTGTGGGTGTAGACCAAATATCTAGGAGAAATAGGACCAAACAGACATTTCCTCTGAATCACAGTAATGCACTAACGATGGTCATTCCATGAGAAGTCCTGGGGCAGAGAGGGGATCCCACGTCTGCGGCAGATAATGGAACAGCACAGACAGAGCTGAGGGGCTCAGAGGCTATTTGCATCCTTAGGACACTGCTGGGCTGCTGGAAGCCCAGAGAAGAAAAGTGACCTGCCAGGAAAATTCACGGCGCCCCGTTTCCTGAACTAACCGTAGTGACTTTGACAATGCAACCACTTGAGAGCAAGGGAACGTGTACTGTGCCACGCACACTGGGCATTTACAGGCTCAGGACACCTCTGAGTGGGAGAAGACACTATCTCCGCAAAGTCTTGCGGACTCTCGAAGGCCAGGCAACTAATCAGTGCTGGGGGTTCCCCTGTGGGTCTGTCAGAGCCCCCTCCCTCCCCACCGCCTACTCTCAAATTCCTTGGCACCCCAGAGATAAGGGCAGAAAAACATCCCCTACTCCCTGCTGGGAGAAAGCATCAGGTTCCAAAGACTCCATCATTATCCCTGGCTGTGGCCAGGGGCAATGTTAACTCTCCCATTTGGACAGAAAGCAGCAATGCTTTGCATCAGGGGTCGATGCCAGCAAAGCAAAGGAGGGTTAACAACAGCATCCCTAGGGGCCAGAAGGAAAAATGTCTGATGAACTTCAGATGTAGAGCTCAGGGAACGCAATCTCCGTGCACACTCACAGAACACACCTGAGGATTACTGTAGAAAGAGACTTTTTTGAACGTTAAACGGACTAAGAAGGAAACACCGTAATTGTTCTCTGCTCTCACAGATGCACACAGCACAGGCTAACGTGCCTTTGTGTGCAGGGGGGGCGGGGGAAGGTGAGGGGGAAGAACAAGCAAGGGCCGCATTCTAGTTTTCTGGCCAGTGAAATACGCACTTGGCCTTGGAATTGTCCTTAAGTCTGACGAGCTACACGTTAAAATTATTAGAGAGTGTAATTAACAAATGGGAAAATGCTCGTGATACGTCCTTGGGCGAACAATGTATCAAAATAAATTATTATTGACAATTACATTAACCAGATAAAGATCTGCGTGTTCGCATGGACTGGGCTGGACCAAAATGTGGCAAACACAAAGGCATTCGTTTCTTTTGGGGGTCGGCTTACGGGCTGACGTTCTTGGTCTCATTCTTGTTAATATTTCCATAACATCGTTTGTGTGGACTGGCTCTTAAAATTATCTAAAGGGTGAAAAAACTGATGGGCCTTTCTGGGCAAGACTGAAGAGAATTAACCTGCCTTTCTGGGCAAGACTGAAGAAAACAAAGACAGTGGGTGCTGGGGTGGGGGGAGGGACATGGCAGGACCAAAAATCCAGCTAAGAAAGGAACGGAACGCAGGGGGCAGGTGGTATACAAGGAAACCAGGGTAGAGCGAGGAGTCAGGGGAAAAAATAGATTTCCTCCTTCACATCACACCCGAAAATAAACCCAGGTTGTTGAGAAGCCCAGATACGAGAAAGCAACACTAAACTTTCATGAGAAATTCAGCTCATCTTTAGTCCTTCAGGGTGTGGGAAGGGGCTCTCAAATATGCAGAGGAATTTCCGCGTTCAGGGAAAAAGGGGAGAAATCTGACATTATTAAAATTAAAAAGCAATTTTTCTGCAACGAAGGAACACAGAGTTACATGCAAACCACGGTCTTGAAGACTCTCCGTGGGTAGTCAAGAACCGATTTAACAGATTAAGAAGAAATGGATGAACGTTTAGTTTTTTTTAACTTATTTACTTTTTTTAATGTTTACTTATCTTGGGAGAGAGAGTGAACAGGGCAGGGGCAGAGAGAGAGAGAGGGAGAGAGAGAATCCCAAGCAGGCTCCACACTGTCAGCACAGAGCCTGATGTGGAGCTTGCACTTATGAGGCGTGAGATCATGGCCTGAGCTGAAACCAAGATGCTTAATTGACTAAGCCACCCAGGCGCCCCTGAATTTTTTTTTTTAAAGTAACATCCCAGTTTTTTTTTTAAAGAACAGTCTATGAAAAGACAATTCCTACACTAATGCACACATCACAAGATGCTCATTCTTACTGATCAGAGAATTGTAAATTAAAAAGCACGTGAAATGCCATTTGAACCCGTAGGACTGGCGAACATACGAGGTCTGCTGATGGCATGGGCCAGTGCAGGTGAGGAGTGCCAGGCCATTAGAGACCACTGGAGGGTGTGTAAGCCAATCACGGTGGAGAACAACTGGCCAATAGTCCATGGTTGAAGATGACTTTTCTGAACGTCTAGTAACTTCTCTTCTAGAAAGCTCTCTACATGTAAACAGGAACATATGTATACCTGCCTCACTGTTTCCAGTGGGTGGAAAACCAGAATGACCTCAGTGCCCATTAGTTAAGTTTAAAAGAAAAATAAGGGGTCCCCAGGTGGTTCAGTAGGTCGAGGTGTGACTCCTGATTTTGGTTCAGGTCATGGGATCGAGCCCCGTGTCAGGCTCCATGCCCCCCACACCTCACTCGTGAGCTCTCTTTCCTTCTCTAACATAAAAAAAAAAAAAAAAACCAAACAATTTTTTTTAATTAAAAAAAGGAAAATAAATGAACTAATAAGACATGTATCCTCATGGATCAATCTTTAAAACTTGATGGAAAAAAGGGCACTGAGGGGCGCCTGGGTGGCTCAGTCGGTTAAGCGGCTGACTTCGACTCAGGTCATGATCTCGCGGTCCGTGAGTTCAAGCCCGCGTCGGGCTCTGTGCTGACAGCTCAGAGCCTGGAGCCTGTTTCAGATTCTCTGTCTCCCTCTCTCTGACCCTCCCCCGTTCATGCTCTGTCTCTCTCTGTCTCAAAAATAAATAAACGTTAAAAAAAAAATTAAAAAAAAAAGAAAAGAAAAAGGGCACTGAGATTATGGTCCCATTTATATAAAAGGAAAAACAAACTAGCCCATGTTAGGTATTACAGTAAGACCTTGGTCTGCAAGCATAATTTATTCCCAGAACATGCTTGTCATCCAAAGCACTCGTACATCAAGGCGCATTTCAAGAACCATTGGCTCAGGCGTGACCACATTGGGCGTCACGTGCGACTTGTGTTGCAAGGCATCGCTCGTTCATCAAGTCAAAATTGACTAGAAATATTTGCTTGTGTGGAACCCTCGCAGAACGAGTTACTCGCAAGCCAAGGTTTTACCGTACTTCTAAACCCCCGCGTGTCTAGAAAGAGCGTGAACACACGGCTGTGGATCGCACCCCCAAATCAGGGAGTGGCAGCTGCGGAGGGTACCCGGCATGCATTTGTCGGGTCACCACGACCCGCAGACCTTCCTCCTCGAGTCCAGGATGGGCCCTCCCTCTCCAGCTGTCCCGTGACTCACCTCGAGTGCCGTTGCCCAGAGCTGTTCCTCTCCCGCGTGGGGCTCTTCCGGGGACCCAGTTCTGGGGTCCCAGCCAGGTCCTGGTCGCTGCCGTCTTCCTGGTCCGTGGCCCACTTATCTTTGGATTTCACGCTGTCGTGCTGGGAATCCAGGGACACGATGTCTGACGGGGAGCTCACCACTCCTGAGTCTTCGGTTGTGTCCTCGGAGGCAAAACAGCTGCCGAGAGACACGGTCTCCTCGGCCTCGGACGGCACCGGTGGGGCCCCGTCCGTGCCACGGGGACTGCCGGGCCCCAGGGGCAGGCTCACTGGACAAAACACGGCAAGGACACGTCAGCCGGCACGTCTCCACACGGCCGAGCGCATGTGAACACCAACCCGCCTGACTCCCCTGGACGGTGGAATTCAGGGGGCTGGGAGCACAGGAAGACCCGATCGGGCCTCACAGCTTCCTCCAGAAGCGCCTTATGACTCGGAGGGAGCCGGGTGCCGGTACGTGATCGAGAGCAAAACTTGCCCTCAAACGTCAGCACGTTCCGGATCAGCCTTTTGGCTTTTTACCCGCGTGTGTGACTGCGGGCAGACGCGTTTAAAAATTCCGACAAATGACACAGCGTTTGCCATGCTTTCCAGCCTGACCCTTGCTTCCGCTGAAGTTGTTCTGAAGTGAGTTCTTCCCCCAAGACCATCCAGACATAAACAAAATGAGAAGTAAATAATACTGTGTGGGAGCTTCTGACAAACGTTCCACAGGAACATTCAGAATCCGCCCTACAGGGTCAAACTTCATGCCTCGTCGGCATCTGGCTCCCCCTTCATTTTTATCTAATTTGTTTCCTCCCCTTCGTTTTTTTTTTTACATGCGAGCAGGGAGCTCTGTTCCGAACAAGAGGGGATCCTGGAAGATTACCTCCAAGACCAATGAGAAGGAACCAGAACACAAATGGCTCTGGTTGGGGTTCTCTTGTTCCTGAGCACTAAGTGAGATTTACTGCAGCAGGAAGAACGAGAGGCAGAGATTTGCAACGATCAGAGCGAGGGTTACACTGAAATAGTAATGACGGGGAACACTGTAGCCATCTGGCACAACATCCAAGCAAGCCCTTCAAAGATACATTAACTACGGAAGTACAGCGAGCCTCCGGGTTCCCTAAGGTCACCGAACGCTCCATGCCTGCAGGACAGGAGGACATCACCCTGGACCAGCTACACACCAGACGTGTTTACTTCGAATTTAATGTAGAAACAGATTTTAAACCTCAAGACATCCGATCTCAGCCCTGCTCCCGGCGGTCCAGGAAGCAAGGACCGCGCTGTGCTGCGGTTTCCGGCTGTCTTGTCGTAAAACCGTTTCTCCAGTACGTCGTTGCTGGATTGCTACAGTGAATTAAGGCCGTAGGGGTGCCCAGGGCTCACTGCACGTGATCACGACCTGGAGTCCCGTGACGGCCTCACAGGGACATGCTTTTAACAGGACAGCAGACTTTGCAACGTAGAATTAATGAACCCAAAAGAGCGCCAAGGAGAGCGTTCCTCCAGGGGCTGGCTTATTTGAGATCCCGAACAATGAAATAAACAAAAGAACAAAATTACATATATATAAAAAAAAAAAACAAAACAAAAAAACCCCAAAACACAGACATTTCACAACAGAGCTCGAAAGGAAAGACCAGAGCACAAAGGAGGAATTGTTTAGAGGCACAAATGCGCGAGGCGATGTGTCCGAACCGCACGCAGCGAGCGCTGTTAACAATACCCGCCTTCTTTCAGTGTTTTTCCTCGGTGCCATCTGCTAATGTCAACTCGAGGTGTGTCCGCACAGGTGGAGTGGGGCTGGCTGGTCAGAGGGAGGTGTCAGCATGCAGCAGGGTCCCAAACAGGTGGCTCGGTCCAGTCCCGGTCCCCCTCTTCCCACCCCAGGGGTCACCCAAGTGTGAAGTAACCCCAAAGAAGCCTCCGGGACCGCCTGCGGCTAGGGGGTCCTCCTGGCACACTCGTGTCCTGGACACTTGGAATACATCCCTGGCGGACGGGGGACGCCAAGCCCTCCCCATCCCCTTTCTCTCCAGTTATGCGATCCAGAATGCTGGCCTGGGCTTGCTTTACACCCTACAGACGTTTGGGAGCAAAAAAAGCAAGTAGAAAGTCACTGCTCTAAATTGAGCCAACTGCAAACCTAAGTCGACAAGGTGTGAGGAGTCTATATTCGGCGTGTATGTGTGAAACCATTTTAACAATATACGGTAAAGACTGCCATTTCCGGAGCTCCCCTCCTGCCCGGGCAAGTCCCTTCTAATGGATCACCTTCCCAGGGCCAGAGTAACTGCATCCTTGAACCCACCGGACAGGTGTTCGGTGAGGGTCCACCCATGCGCCGCCCCCGGGGTTCAGGGAGCAGGTAAGGGCGGCCACACTGTCAGGAAGGTGGTCACCCAGGCACGGGAGGAACAAGTGCATAAAGGCCCAGGGAGAAGGGACCCACCTCAGGGGACTGGCCAAGGAGAGATCAGCAAACAACTTCCTGAAACATTGCTGGGGGAGCCATCAAATCCGGCCCCGATCTGGAGATAGGAAGGAACATTCCTGTGAGGCTCCAACCTGGCTCGGTGTGGTTTTCATGTCTGTCTGCAGTCAACCCCATCGGTCTGAGAATCTTCGCTTAGAATCGGACATCACCACCTCCCTCGCCCTGCCCCAGCTTTGAGTCTCCTCTGGGCTGGTTCCTACTGTTAGCCCTGTGAGCTGTAACACGTTTTGACCATTTCTGAGTAAGATAATGGTGCAGGAGAATTTTTTTTTTTCCTTTATCAATTCTAAACAGAAGCCCAAAACATAGAAGAAAAGCTTGGAGCGGCTTTGGCTGTTATTTATGGGGCTGTCTAGATCCTTCTGTGCACCCCTCACCTCCCTCATTTAGCCCCTGGTTCCATGAAGCCAGTGGTCCTGGGGACCCCAACTTGAAATCCAGGGACAGCCCAAGAAGGGCTGGGTTAAGAGCCCGAATCCCACATCCAGGTCCAAGTTCTACTCTAAACTCGGAACAGCCTTTTCCCCTTTCTGTAAAATAAGCATGTGGGTTCTGAGGAGCTCTAAAATCCCTTCTAGGTACAGAGTACTACTGTTCTCTGAAATTCCAAATTTAAATGTAAGATGCAAACGTTCTTTGGACAGTTGACTAGTGACTAGGAATTGTAAAAGGGATGCGTCATTGTCTACGTCCTTTCTGCTGCCTTCCATCGGCCCTAAAAGTATAGCTCGTGATTTTTGAGCTAATAAATTTACTGGCAAGTCTGCTCTTCTCTCAAGGCGTGAACAACCTTTTTGACCTAAAAAGTTACCACTGCAAGATTTTTGCAAATGTGAAAACCACACTTAATTTGTCTTTAGCAGAAGCCTAATATAAATTCTTGATTAAATTCTCTTCTAAATGAATGGCCATAGAGCCTGAGTAAGGAATACTAACCCCTTCACTGTCCTCCACCTAAATTTTATAATCCTGTGGTTCAAATGCCCTTCTGTCTCAATGAGAGCTTCCAGAAATTTCTCTAGCTAAGGTGTAAAGAAGAAAATGCTAACTTACGGCTTCCAGTTCCTCAAGGTGAACACCATCATGTTCCATTCAGTACCCACGTCATTGAGTTTTTCATTTACAAAGTCACCAAAAAAATTCCAAACACGAAACATAAGGATCTTCCAAGGACTCTTGTAATGGATTCAGTTTTGAGTGATTTTATTGAATGTAAGTGCAAGGTCTTGTACCCTAAATCGTGGTCTCTTGCTAGTCATGACTAAGGGAGATTCCCCAAGGGTCACTTTCACCACATTGATGTGGACCAAAGACAATGTCTCACAGAAAGGATTCTTTTTCCCCTCTCACTGATGCCTATGATTTCCGCACACTATTGATAGCCAATAACCGATGCTCATCTTTCATCCCGACTACTTTGGTTTAATTCCCTATGTTCTAAGAACTAAGAAAAAAGGGAAGAAACAGGGGAGATACTGGAAAAGTGCTCTTGAATCAGTAGTGCAAACTGACACGTGTTTGCCGATAGTTTCTGTCATATACATCCGCAAATAATTTTGAACCACCATGTCCCCCTAAACATTTTTCACTGACACGCGAAAATTTCCATCTTGAGTTGATGGGCTGCACCAGATGTAGTTTCTACTGTACTGTAAATAGCAATACTTTAAAAAGAGTTGTATCATTTTTCAATGTAATCATGGGCCCCTCAAAGGTACTGCACAATGCAGGTAACAGTACAGCCAGTTCACGATAGAGGATCACTACACACACACACACACACACACACACACACACACACACACACACACAATTTTCTTCAAGAAGGCAGGATAATGAAGACTTTGAAAGCACTAATGGATCTAAAATAGATTCTCTGGAATCTGAATTCTCTTAAGAGTCAATGATGTAATCAATGCATACTTCTCCAGAGCCTGAGACATACGTTTAATCCTAGAATCCCAATACACCCAGGAAAATGGGCAGGGAAAACTTCCATTTCCACCACTGAAAGGCAGGACTGGATTCCAGTCACTGTTCTATTAAGACATATATAGACAACAGCTGCTGTTTTTGTCTGTCCAGCACTGTCCCCCTCCCTGTTAGTGCTAAATGAATTCCTGCTTCCTGTGGCCAACCTATTTCTCAACATCTGGGTGAGTCTAACAACTGCCCCTAACTACCCTGGGCCCTGGGGGATGGGCGTGAGAGGAACCAAAATCTGGCCAATTTAAACCGTGCACACAATGGTAGACCAAAGGAGGGCACGTGTGCTCAGCTGGACAAATCAAGGCCTGCCTCTGGACCTTCCCACCAGAGCTCCTGGGGAAGCTGGTCTCACTGGCCTGGAGTCAATGGAATGGCAGAGTCTTGGATAAATAGCCATTTGGATGAGCACATGGAGAGAACTTGTTCAGGGATGGGGGAAAACACAGTCCTAAGACAGTAATTGGGTACCTGGACTCTGCCATGACCATAATGAGGATTCATCTCTTAAAATTCCCAGTCATGTGAGCCAAAAAACTCCCACAAAAACCCACTTCCCTTAACCAGTTCAAGACATGTTTCTTTCTTTTGGAACTAAAGACTCCTATCTAATCAATAGGTAAACTACCCTGATATTTTCATCAGTATACCTATAATATGTATTAAATATGAATGCCATAATGTCAAAATATTTATTATAAATATTAGATATGTTCATATGTTTATTAATGTTAACTAGAAATACAAAAAATATATAATTATGATTAATGATTTAATGTTATATAATTATGGTTA